GCCTGGTCACAGACCGGGCCGCGGGGGCGTTGACCCCCGGAACTCTCTCCAGGTAAACTCCAGGTAAACTGTTGTCTTGGTTTCAGATTACTGCTAACCAGAACTCCTAAATCTTTTTCGTAATCCGTAATATTAAGATCTACATTATTTAGTTTATATGTGGCATGGTTATTTTCCTGTCCAACATTCAGAACTTTGCGTTTGTTTATATTAAACTGCATCTGCCAGTTCATTACCTCTGTAACTTGCTCAGCTATCAAAACTTTGGAGTCCAGTCCCTGGACCAATTATGTACCTCTGTAATCTTTTGACTACCGCCCACAGGATGGGTATAGGGTGCACAATAAACATATTAAACTAAAACTAAAATCTGCCACTTCTCCGACCACTGCATCAGTCTATTCAAATCATCCCGGGGTGCTCTAATGTCCTCGTCAGAATGAATTCGACTGCCTATTTTGGTGTCATCAGCAAACTTGCTTTTGTCGCTCTTTATACCCTCATCAATGTCGTTTATGTAGATTGTGAACAACAGGGGGCCTGTGGAAATTTATTTTGTCCCTAAAGTTCCACAGGACAGATCCAGCATGGCCGTAATGGAACGGCTGAGCTGGGTGGCCTTTATACCCCACCCAAAACAAAGCATTCTCTCTAGTTGGCGTGGATTGTTGGTAAGCTTATTTAATTTATAGATTTCCCCTTCAGGGAAGGAGTAGGTAGTTTTACTGGTAGTACACTAATATTAGGATCATTGAGGCAACTGTAGATAATAATAATGTAGACCTAAGACCTTAACATAGGTAGTAATAGGCCGATAATGTAGGCAAACACTAGGATAAAGTTAGCTAGGGAGAACTGGCAGCCCTAGTTTGAATGAAGAGACGAGGGCCTGGAAGAGAGACCAGCTCGTTCTTCTTAAGACAGACACCAACTGGACAAGACGTTCCGTGATCAGCAGACGGCGCCCCCCAGTGTCTTCACATTTGAGACTAGGGAAATCTGGTAGAGGCACCTCGATGTACCGTAGATGACCTCCGTCAGGCCCATACAGTAAGACAAGACCTCCACTTTATCTCGTAGATTTCTGGCCAGTGTCTGGGGAGAATTGTGAGTGAGTTTGATCTGTGGGCCCGGTGTGCAACAGGCAGTGCATGCCCAGTAAGTACCAGTGTCTCTAGGCAGTCTGGAAGCTAGTGTCCATGTCTGCATAGTTATACTAGGGGATACATACCCTCTTGGATATAGGAATTTCTGAGGTGCAGGCAGGACACTAATAACGATTGAATATTGCAGGAATTAAGGCTCCCAGTTGCATGTGGTTTCTGAGGGGAAGTCCAAAGGGGCTAAGGCTAAGCTTAGGGAAGTTGAAGATCAGGATATATGCTGCAACACCAAGTAAGTTAGTCCTTTATACGTGCATGCAGGCGAGTTTCTTGCAACACCAATCATTTGTGAAAATCTGTCCTATAAGCCACTTGTGAGGCTGAGGTACCCACCTCAGAGCTCGGTGTCAACAGAGTTTGCCAGGGTAGGCGACTCACTTGGAGGCAGTCCACACAAATTTTCACAGGGCCCAACACTGACCCCTGTGGAACACCGCTCGTGACGCTTCCCCACTCGGATTTCTTCCCATTTATGCAAACTCTCTGCTGCCTATTTGTCAACCATGCCTCTATCCAGGAAAAAATTTCTCCTCCTATTCCATGTGCCTTAATTTTCCTCAATAGCCTCTGATGTGGGACCCTGTCAAAAGCCTTACTGAAGTCCATATACACATTATCATATTCATTACCATGATCTACCTCCTCAAATACCTTAGTGAAAAAAGTTAATAAATTCGTAAAGCAGGAACGCCCCTTTGTAAAACCATGCTGAGATTCGTTAATTAATTTATGCTTTTCAAGGTGGCTACGAATTGCCTCGGCAATTATTGATTCCATAAATTTTCCCACTATGGAGGTTAGGCTTATTGGTCTATAGTTTGAAGCTAAGGACCTGTCACCTGTTTTGAAAATAGGTATCACATTTGCCATTTTCCACTTATCTGGCACCGTGCCAGTTTGTAGTGATATGTTGAAAGATTAGGCAAAGGTTTGCTAAGCTCCTCTTTACATTCCTTTAGAACCCATGTGAACAGTTCATCAGGGCCTGGGGATTTGTTAAGTTTTAATTTATCTATTTGCCTAAGGACCATGTCACTTGTGACCCTAATCATGCATAGTTTATTATCATCCTGTTCTACATAATTTATTATTTCTGGAATATCGCTAGTATCTTCCTGTGTAAAAACTGAGAGGAAGTATGTGTTAAAAATTCTACACATTTCCTTATCACTGTCCATGAGCTGACCCTAGTAACTTTTGAGTGAGCCTATCTTGTTTCTGATCTTACTTCTGTATACCTGAAAAAATCCTTTTGGGTTAGTCTTCGATTCTCTTGCAACTTTCACACGGTCAGCAAAGCTATTCAGAAATCAGAACTGTTATTGAGTACTTATGCAAGTTTGTACAGTTCACTTCAGGATTTTTTAAGCAAAATTAGAGAAAATTTTGATGAGCCTGAACAACAAGCAAAAGCTCCCTTGATAAATATTAACTACAGAACTGTCACAAGGAGACAAAGAGTAAGGAAACGGCAAAGAAATGACGGAAGTGCACCTGGTCCTGATGCCTTAAATGAACTCTCTTCGAGAGATAAGTTTAGGATAAAATTCTTTATCCCTGTGCTAGTTGCACTTGAAGCCAATTTAATAAGAGCTGCTGTGTACAGTGATGTTGCAAAACTGTTTTTCTTTCTTGTTAATCTGACAGCATCTTAGCAAGAAATTCAGCAAGGTGTTGAACTGATGATGGCAGCATAATACCCAGAAGATGTTGACCTGAATCTTACTGATGCACTTTCACTAGTACATGAGACAAAGCCATAGGCCTACAAACCAACACGGGTGGGGTTTGAACCCGAGGTCAGAGAGTCTCAAAACTCCAGACCGTCGCGTTAGCCACTGGTCCAGCTAGCTTCAATAAGATTCGTCCAACAAGGTATATTTCTACACCATATGAAGGTTAGCATAGGCACCACTGTGACCACAAATGCAACTTTTTACAGACGAATCTCCCGCTAGCATGGCCGTGACGAACTCTAGCTCGTGAGTCATGTTGACGGCTTTGAGGGGACTTGAGCTAGAGTTCGTCACGGCCATGCTAACGGGAGATTCGTCTGTAAAAACTTGCATTTGTGGACACAGTGGTGCCTATGCTAACCTTCATATAGTGTAGAAATATACCTTGTTGAACGAATCTTATTGAAGCTAGCTGGACCAGTGGCTAACACGACGGTCTGGAGTTTTGAGACTCTCTGACCGCTGGTTCAAACCCCACCCGTGGTATGGTTTGTTTGCAATCGTGTCATTACGATTTCGTGAGTCATAGGCCTACAAGATGGGTGTGTTTAGCTGTGTCTCTAGCCCGAGGTACCCGCACAATGTGGTATATCTAATTTTGATAAATAAAATTCCACCGACGCCCCCTCAGAATTCGCCAATCAGTCTCAGAGAATGTTAGTACCAAGTCTCTAGATCAATTATTTCTCTCTCTCTCTAATACTTTTGTTTATTATCGCCCAGTAGGTAGGTAAGGGGTGCATACTAACGTCATCATTGTAAGCAAACGAAGAGCTAATAGTTATGGGGAAGCGCTAAACTCGTAGGGATTATATGGCACCTGGGAATGGGAGGCAACCAGGTTCGATCAAAGGGGAACACAGGTCCAATTCTCTGATCATCAAGGAACCTTCCCTTGTGGGGAAAGCATTAAGTAAACTCCGGAATGCTGAAGCGTTAGTTTAATATGTTTATTATGCACCCCATACCCATCCTGTGGGCGGTAGTCAAAAGATTACAGAGGTACATAATTGGTCCAGGGACTGGACTCCAAAGTTTTGATAGCTGAGCAAGTTACAGAGGTAATGAACTCACAATTTACAAAGGTAATGAACTCACAATTTACAAAGGTAATGAACTCCATGTAGGTCTGGTCACAATCATGACAAGTTACAAAGGTATTTACAGATTACAGAGGTACGTAATGGGTCCAGGGACTGGGCCCCCAAAGTTTTGATAGCTGAACTAGGTACAAAGGTAATGAACTCACAAGTTACAAAGGTAATGAATTCTGTAAGAATGGTTACTTACGTTTATATATGGCTACAGTCATGAACAAATTATAGTGTAATGAGCAATTCACACTTCCACACCCGGTCACAACTGTAGTGAGTTATTGGTGCAAATATTGATTGTTGAGTCACATACACACACAACACACACACACACACACACACACACACACACACACACACACACACACACACACACACGCACACACAAACACACACACACACACACACACACACACACACACACTCACACACACTCACACACACACACGCAACCACAAATAGGTGAGTACACACACAGACACACACACACACACACACACACACACACACACACACACACACACACACACACACACACACACACGTTATTACTGTTCTTGCTGCTGAACAGCGGTTTAGTGCCGATGAAGGTAGTGTAGGTAGCAATGATACGGCCGTGGACTAGTTTGGCTTTAATTGGATAGGAGTGAGTACACAACGGGCAGTGTGAGGGAGTGACCGCAAACCAGTCCGTGGAGGGGGAGCACTTGTGTCTATCAAGTGGGTCGGCCTAGGAGTGAGAGCGAATGGGCTGAGCCTCCCACTGACCTGGGTGAGCCTACAGAGGGCAGCACCTAAATGCCGCGAAATATGAACTAGTCAGAGCAGACGGCTAGGCTGTGTGTTCTGACAGTACAGGCTGTCTACACACACAGTTTAGTTTAATATCTTTATTATGCACCCCATACCCATCCTGTGGGCGGTAGTCAAAAGATTACAAAGGTACACAATGGGTCCAGTGACTGGACCCCAAAGTTATGATAGCTGAACTAGTTACAAAGGTAATGAACTCCAGGTAGATCTGGTCACAATCATGGCAAGTTACAGAGGTAATGAAGCGTCAACCCATGTTTTGGTTCTGGAACACTGTTGCAAATTAACTAGGTTTTTTAAATTACCAATTAGGTATGCTTCAATATAAGGACTCTAAATAGCCCACACCTTAGGACAATGACCCCTAGGAAGCGTTATACCTACTACATTGTTTTCCTGGAATAATTCATTATTAGACTGCTGTGGGTCGCATCTTGGATCACACACCTGACAAAAGGACTCAATAGAAGTAAGCCACGCTGCTTGGCTTTCTTGGGTTATCCTGCGTCATTAACTCACCGGGATTACCAATACAAACATTCTTCTTTAAGCACATGAAATCTCGTGTGTTTATTCGTTAATCATTTATTTTACCAATAATTGTACGTACAATATTTTCATTAATTTTCATAATTATTTTCAACAATTATTTAATATGGCGTTAAGCAAATTGTTGGTGGTCGCTTGGGTGATGTTGGTGTGTGTCTGGGGAGCTGGACCAGCTGGTGTCACCTCCGCCATTCCCCACGCGAGTCCCATCCAGCTCAACATCTCCCAGGTTAACCTCTCCCAGGCCAGTCCTACCCAGCTCAACCTCTCCCAGGCCAGTCCTACACAGCTCAACCTCTCCCAGGCCAGTCGTCCTACCCAGCTCAACTCTCCCAAGCCAGCTATACCCAGGTCAACCTCTCTCAGGCCAGGCCTTCCCAGGTCATCCTCTCCCAAGCCTGCCCTAACCAGCTCAACCTCTCCAATGCAAGTCCTGCCCAGGTCAACCTCTCACTGGCAAGTCCTGCCCAGCTCAACCTTTCCAATGCAAATCCTGCTCAGGTCAACCTCTCACAGGCAAGTCCTACCCAGGTCAATCACCCTCATAGTCAAAATATCCACTACCTTCCTCAAGGTCGTTCTGATAATCATATGCTCGCTGATAACTCCCAAACGCTCACTAAATACGAAGAGGACGAGAAGAAATTTGTAAAAAAGTACCTAAGAAAACGCTGGCCAAAAAAAACAATCCCAGTTAAATTTGATAGTAAGCATCCCGTCAAGGACAAGCAGATGGTTTATCAAACAATGGATTGGTTCAATGAGCTGACGTGTCTTTATTTATATAATAAGACTGGCAAGGGGTACCACGTGTTCGTCACTAGTAGTAAAAAAAATGCTTGTTTTGCCACAGTGGGGTTCTCTAAATCTAGAAAAGGTTTTCAGGATGTGAATCTAGGCGATGGTTGCTTCTATGCCCTTGGAGTCATCGTCCACGAATTCATACACACCTCCGGTTTTTAGCATCAGCAGGGGAGAACCGATCGGGATGATTTCGTAAAAGTCTTTCCTAAAAGAATGTTAGCCGGAAAATCTGGCAATTTCGCCAAAAGCAGCGGAAAGTTTGCATTCTTGAGAACCCTCGGTCTCCCTTACGACTACAACAGTGTCATGCACTACAGGCTCAACGCCTTTTCTAAGGGAGCCAAGTATGGTAAAACTATGGAGTTGACTAGGAACTTTTCTGGCTTTGTGGGACAACGTACCGGCTTTTCCCGCACCGATCTTGCAGCCATTAACCGCTACTACGAGTGTTGGGACTACTATCTGGGTGACGATATCCCCGGCGCCGTTCCCTACGACGACTTCCACGCCAGATACATTGACCCAGACGAGAACAGGAATGTGTCTGGTGCTCTCCTAGCCTGGATCATACGTATGAAGTACGGAGTTAATACTTTGTGATCTTTTCTTTTTATTATAATCAGAGGAAAGCTCTAAATCCGTAGGGGTATATAGTACCAGAGTTGTTGACAGTTTCATAATTTTCCAATTGTACATATGAGTGACATCTGGTTGTGCATGCAGAAAGCCCACAGTTATGCAGAGATAAGTATTATCTAGTATCTTAAAAATCTTACAGGACTACAAAGAATTTGAAATAAAATATTAATAAGAAAAAGAAATGCGAGAAATATTAATAACTCACAGTGTTATACGGCAGCGTTAAATCTCACGAGTCATGGACCGGGCCGCGGGGGCGTTGATCCCCGGAATAACCTCCAGGTAACCTCCAGGTAGTCACCCTTTAAATATAAAGGAACTAATGTACAATTGCTATGGATCCCATCACACATTGGATTACTCCTTCATGATAAAGTTGATATGTTAGCCAAGAAGAGTACCTAGAAGGAGAATGTAGAATATAACTTTTGTATATCTGTGTCTAGCATTAGGAATAATATTAGGAGAGAAGTAAATAATGAAAATGATTGTTATAGGAATGCAGTTAGAAGCCTGAGTAGATCCATAACCCACTATGATAACATGAACGTAGATCAGTATGTTTATGGAGTAACGTGCAATGTGACCAGAGGCGTCACTAGGGTTGGTGTCACCCGGGGCGGCATCTTTGGTGTCATCCCTGTGAAAGCCAAGGATGGGGGGGGGGAAGTAAACTCCAGTTACGTCACTACTGCATGACCAGTAACTAATGTTTAACAATGAGAACGTTTAAGAGCCACAAACCGAACAGGAGAATACTTCTCAACTTTATTAATGATAAAATAAATAATCGTAGTAATATTGAGGAAACATAAACTCAAATACCACGTTAAGTACAAGCAACAGATCCTACATTTATTCATCTTCAACAATGAAAAAAACAAACTTGAAAAATAAAGAAAAATATTGCAATATCAGATAAACATTAGTTCCAATTTGACCTTGAGTACAGGTAGCATCTCAGTGAATCTGATCTTACATTTCCTTTCCTTCAGTCCTGCAAAATCATCTATCACATCATCACAATCCATGATTTTCCCTATATAGGCTAATTTATACACTGTAATCCTATAATAGGCTATATAGAAACTAAGGATTCTTCTCTTATGTTGGTGCAGCACTGTTTTGGTCATTAGTGTCACCTTTAGAGGCTCTCTGGTGTCACCCCCTAAATGGTGTCACCCGGGGCGGCGCGTCGTCCCCCCAATGCCTTGGATGCAGAGTCTCTCCCCGGCTTCCAGGAGCCTCCCCTGAGGGGTCACTTCTGATCAGGACAATGGTTTACCATAATAATAATAATAATAATAATAATAATAATAATTAATGATGTTTAGCGAAGGGATGTGAACTATTTTGTTTTATTTCAAGGTGTACTTGTATCGCGCTTTATTTTACTAGCTAAATCACTTAAAGTGAATTGAACATAAATGAAGGAGAATGCACGAGCACTGCGCTTGTAAACACCGACTTGAGATGTGTGGGAAAATTATATCATAGCTCACGAAAAAATAACTAAACCCAAATGAGTCACCCAGTAAGAAAGGAGAGGGATGAGGTATTAAAGCTGCTGCCATGTGCATTTTAAGGTTGCTTGTAAGCTATATTCTGATGGTGGTGAATTGATCTGTTCTGGGGAATTAAAGTTTTTTTTTTTCTTCTTATTGGCTTAAATTCTGATTACTTTTCACTTACAAGGTACTATGCAACCCTTGCGGGCTTAACGCTTCCACATGAATAATAATACATTTAACATGGAGTCCCACCTTAGTCTTGACGGAAATTATTATTACGTTAATGGGGAAGAGATAAACCCGTAGGAGTCCTACAGTGTCTGAGGTGACAAGGTCTTCTGCCACAATTCAGGTAGACACAAGTTAATTTCATTTGATTCAGAGACGCACCAGCATCTACTCGCCTGGATTGAGCGGAGTGATGAAGCTCAATATTGTGTACCGAGTGTATTTCGTTTTTTCTTGTATTTCATGAAATGCTAAACCTGCTTGGACTCTTCAGTGCAAAGAGTGGTAGAAGCTTAATACTCCACTCTCTAATGAGACTCGCGAAGTTAATCTCACGTTCTAAACTCCTAAATCTATTCGTTATTTGTTTGCATCTGAGTTTTAGTCAAATTATTTTTTATTTATTTATTCATTTTGTTTTGTGTATCAACAGTTACGTAAGAGAGTGTTAAGCATGTCGCTGCTGGTCACTTGGGCGATAGTGTTGGTGTGTCTGGGGAGAGCTGGAGCCACTAGCGGCTCCTCCACTGTGAGGGACCAGGCTGTCCTCCAGGGCAGCCTCACCCAGGATGACCACACCCAGGATGACCACACCCAGGATGACCACACCCAGGAGAGCCACGCCCAGGGCAGCCTCACTCAGGATGACCACCTCCAGGACAGCCTCGTCTACTACCCCGAAAAGATCGGCCTCACTGAGAACTCCATTGGCCAGGCAGGAATTCCTGAGGACACCCTCTTACAGGATGCATTTAACCTTGAGGAATGGAAGTTACAGTTCGGAATAAAGCACTTTTTAGAGACACGGTGGCCAAATAATACCGTCCCAGTCATCTTATGTGATAAGATGGCCATGCAGTACAGACCGGAGATTTACAAGGCAATGAATTTGCTCAGCACACTGACGTGTTTAAAGTTCGTTAATTCCACTGACACGCAAAAATATTACTTGAACATCACGTACATCGATAATTCGTGCTATGCCCATTTAGGATTCCAAAATCATCAGATTGGTTACCAGCTAGTGAACCTTTGCCCAAACTGTTTCTACGGTTTTGGGGTGATCGTTCATGAACTAATACACTCCAGCAGTTTTCACCACCAGCAGGTAAGAATAGATCGCGATGATTACGTTAACGTTTACAGAGACCGTATTGATAAGGAAGCTTATTCGAATTTCCAAAAACACGATTATAATCCATATGATTACCTCTGGACATTTGGACTACCCTACGACTACAACAGCGTTATGCACTACCCAGCTGATGCCTTTGCACTAAGTACAGATCATGTGCCTACCATAGCTGTGAAGAGGGAATTTCTGGGGATGATAGGGCAGAGAGACGGTCCCTCCCGCACAGATATCGCAGCTCTTAATCGCTATTACGAGTGCTGGGACCACTACCTGGGCGACGACATCCCCGACTCTGTTCCCTACACCGAGTTTCATGCCAGGTACATAAAGCGAAACCTTACCAAAAGCGTCTCCGAAAAATTCACAAAATGGTTTAGCTATATGACTGAAAAGGTTACGAAGTGATTTTGTTTATGCATTTTTTTTCTATTTTACATGCCTTTCATTCGATGTTATTCATTCTTGTTTTTACTTTGAGCAAGGGAAGCGCTAAACCCGCAGGGATCATATTGCGCCTGGGAAATGGGAGGCGATCAATAAGTAAGATGAAGTGTTCACTCATACGACGAGTGACCAGTCACCTGGTCCAGATGACTCACGAACAAGCACCTCACCTCTGTCAGTTTACTATTTCTAATCACTCACACATGCTACGTAGCCCAGTGGCAGCATTTTCAATCTTGGGCGGGAAGGTGGGGGGGGGGGGGAGACGTACTGGCAAAGGGTATCTCATTCCTACTACCCCTGTATGAACTGTATGAACCTTGCGGGTTTAGCGCTTGGTTTACCTGGAGTTCCGGGGGTCAACGCCCCCGCGACTCTGTCTGTGACCCGGCCTCCTGGTGGATCAGAGCCTGATCAACCAGGCTGTTACTACTGGCTGCACGCAATCCAACGTACGAGCCACAGCCTGGCTGGTTAGGTACCGACTTTAGGTGCTTGTCCATTGCCTGCTTGAAGACAGCCAGGAGCCTATTCGTAATCCCCCTTATGTATGCTGGGAGGCAGTTGAACAGTCTCGGGCCCCTGACACTTATTGTATTGTCTCTTAACGTGCTAGTGACACCCCTGCTTTTCATTGGGGGGATGTTGCATCGTCTGCCGAGTCTTTTGCTTTCGTTGTGAGTGATTTTCGTGTGCAAGTTCGGTACTAGTCCCTCTAGGATTTTCCAGGTGTATATAATCATGTATCTCTCCCGCCTGCATTACAGGGAGTACAGGTTCAGGAACTTCAAGCGCTCCCAGTAACTGAGGTGTTTTATCTCCATTATGCGCGCCGTGAAGGTTCCGTACATTTTCTGGGTCGCAATTTCACCTGCCTTAAAAGGTGCTTTTAGTGGCAGCAATATTTAGCCAAAGAAAAAGGACCTGAAGAGTGCATCATGGGCTTGGCATCCCTATTTTTTGAAGTTCCATTATCCATCCTGTCATTTTTTTTGTGATGCGATTGAGCATGTTATAAGTAAGAAAGTAAGTAAGTTTATTAGGTATACAAAAATACAGTTACTAAAATTTCTACAAAAGACATATGTGTAGGAACCTAGGATAACCCAAAAAAAGTCAGACAAGTGACTTTTTTCCATGGGGGCCCCTTTTACCTATTATTATAATAAAAGGTTATAAATTTTCTTATTATTCTAAAATGAAGATAACTCTTATTTCATACTAAAAAGACTATCTACAACAGGGTCATTAAGATACTACTACACAGGGTCATTAAGACATCATAACGGGTTATAAGACATCTACTACACGGGGGTCATTAAGACTATCTACTACACGAGGCCATTAAGACTACAATCGAGGGCTTACAAGGAATAAGAAAATTTTCCGTATTTAGAAAAAAAATAAAAAAATCATTCCCCTCCCTTTTTTAGCTACATTCATCAACATTTTTTGGCACCTTTTTGAAGGTTCATGCTTGACTGGTTTTGACATGTGCGGGCGCTGTTCCATTCCTTTATTTGCTGTACAAAAAAGGGTTTGAAGCCTCCCAATGACTGTGGTACTAAAAATTTTGCCTCCCCCCCTGTACTATGTTTTTTTTGGTTCCCAACCTTGAAAAAAATTGAAAAGCAAGATATTCGGACAGTTTGT